GCTGAGTTATTCATAATTATAGTATTCATCGTAAACAAATTATTAATTAAATAAAATTATTTATACAACAAGAATAGAGGAATTTTAATGGATTTAGGTATGGATGAATCTTTTTATCATAAAAATCAAATATAAAAATAATAATCATTAATTTAATATTGGACGTTAAGATTTTTTAATTCTTCATACTCATCCTTTAAAATTATCATCTTGAGTCTTTCATAGTGTTATTGAGAAGTTTGTTCAAGGTTTTACGCGGTTTCAACCAATTTTATTAGTTTTAAAAAATATATTCCAATTTTTTTTAATTTATTATTAAACTTCAAATCTTAAACTTGCTTATTATTTTATATTTTACTACTGCTTTTTTTAATTAGTTCTAATTCATCTTCTAAGTATTAAACTGAAATATTTTATATTTTTTATCCATTATTAATGAATTAAGAGAGGTTATTAACAGACTTCAATTTATCAATTAAATCCATAACCAAAATTTGATTTTTGAAAAGATTAATAAATTGTTATATTATTTAATCGAAAAACGCAAAAACACTTATATTTTCTGATGATTTATAGTTTTCTATAATATTTGATATTAAAGAACATAGGTTTATTACATCATCTACTTTTCTAGAATGATTATTTAAAAGATTATTAATTATCACATCAGTAACTTATGTTAAAAGGCATTAGCATATTTCATCTTAGTATGTTAATATGATATCATAACTCTCTTTCATCTCAGCATTTAATTCCAAAATAAAAGCTATTTTTGCTTGTTATTATATCTATTCATTTTATAATTATCTACTTAAATCTAAAATGTTTGATTTAATTCCCTATAACAATTCATAGTTAATTTATGGCGATTGATTTGATTTAATATCAATTTATTTTTATAATTAAATTGCTTATTTATTTAAATAACCAAGCTGCTCTGAAATTTTATTATCATTAATCAATTAGGTAATTTAATCTTAATATTTTTACTTCTATTAGATTAAATCTTTTAGTTCTATTTCATCAATAAAATTGGATGCATTCAATAGTTAAATATACCTCTAATTATCAATTCTATTTTTTATTGCTTTTAAGAAGTAAGAGATTTTCTCGTTACAACAGTTTGCTTCTATTTGTATGTTCCATATTTTTTTTATATAATCCATGGTATTGGATTCTAATCTGTTAAATACTGGTATAATAAAGTTTTCCAATTTAGATTCAAATAGTTTATCTCCAAAAAATAAATTGATATGTTCAATAGTTGAGTAAAGTTCATTTTTATTTTCACACAATTTTGATCCATCAATCAAAATTAAAAAGATTAATTAGGGAGATCTTTGTAATTATGAAAAGATTTTTATTTAATTAATCAATCTATTTTCCCTATCAGTATCTTCAAATCCAGGTGTATCTGTGAATACAAAATCATCAATTTCTCGATCAAAAGTGGATTTAGTTTCACTTTCACAAGTTTAGGATATTTAAATTCCCTTTTATTTGTCAATTGTAGAGAAATGCTTACGGTTGCCATTGTCAGAAATTGTAATATTTTCGGGATTGATCAATATATTCAACAATGTACTTTTACCAGTTTTTGTCAAACCTAATATACAGATATTCGGTTTTTAAATCGGTTTTTATTAATTTGAAACCCTATTTGATTCTTAAAACAATTTAAATCTGTAAGGAAGATGAGTATCAAAGTACTTAATCTCTACTGCACATTATTTAGATATTATTTCCAAATCCTATTTTAAAAAACTACTTAATATTTCATCTTAAGTTTCATCTTGAAATAATTTTTATTTTTCGCTATATGCTTCAATAATCTACTCAAACTAAAATAAAAAAATCCTTTCCTTGTTTGCATATGAACTAAAACTCAAGTTATTTCTTGCCAAACTTCTTAATCGATTTAAAATACGATGCTCCCAATATTAAATAGTTTATTAGATTTGTTCGACAATAGTTGAAATAGATTAATTCTTTTCATTAATTATTTACCTGAATCTAATTATAAGAGAATATAATAATTTTTGAAATTGTTTAATATCCTCATCTGAATAATTCTAACCTTTTAAACTATTTGGTAATTCAAGTAATTCATTTATATTATATTAAAACATTATTATATTTTTCAGGATCTAGTTTGAAAGTACTTGCAGCTAATCTTGTATGTACATATAACAATCAAAGCCAATAGAACAGAAATCATTGTATTCAAAATAAAAATATCCTTAAGATAGTTATAAAAGACTCATAAATTGCTAATCAAATCCTTTGCATTGAAAAATTTAACTAAGATCGTCTTCTTCATAAATAACTTCAGAATTCAGACTGTTAATTTGAAAAATCTATAAGTTTGCAATTGGCATTCTTAAATAACAAATCATTTTCTACTCTCTCAAATTTCTTGAAACTAATATGACTTCCTATTATTCAGTTAAGAAGCCATCAAATAACTAATTAATATGTTTATCAATTTAGCTTTGGTCATTTTATGATATAGTGTTATTGTATTGGATAACAATTTTCATATAGCATTTTCCAAAATTTTGTGCAAGTTTGAGTAAATTAATCCTTAATAAAGTTAAATTCAGTATATCGATTTCATTAGATAAATTTTCTTAAATTAGCTTTTAAAAGTAATAAAGTTGTAGAGATTGCTTATCATGGCATTCTGATCATAACCCAAATTCGGAATATATAGTATTTCGATTAAGTAACTTGAGATCTGACAATTTTTCTAATTCTATTAAAGAATCAAAACAATCTGTAAGATTGAAATACAAGATTATCACTTTTAAATTTTTAACTTATTTGCTAAGCATTATAACTTTCTTTTTTAATATTCACACTCTTAAGCATGGAGGAAATGAGCTATTTATAAAAATTAATAAACACAAATTTTTTCTAAAACAGATTAATGATACTATAATTAATAAACGAAAATTAACAAATTACCATATAAATATAGTGGCTTTAGTTAAAGTTTAAGAGACTTTGAGCTAAAATTAATATAGAGATAAGTTTTCAATTATTGTATATAGCCAGAAAACATTATCTAATTTATATTATTATTATTATTATCTTAATAATTTATTACTTCATTAATTTACCTCTTAAGTCTTAATAAAATTAGAATTATTGATAATAGTACCTAATATAAGTAATAAATTAGTATCAAATCTAAGTGTGCAATAATTTTAATTTTTAGATAGATTTTCTCGAAATAAATAATCAACTTAATATAAATCAGATCACATCTTATAGAATACAAATAATAATCTAATAAAAATGATCTAATATTATTACTATATGAACAATAGTAATTAGTTAAAATGTATTACATGTCTAATTATAAAAACTATAAAGAAATAATTGACAATTATAATATCTCAAATTTATTTACTTTATAAACTTTATCTCGAAACAAATAAAAGTTAATAAAATAATAAATTTATGGGTGCTATATGTTCATGTAAATGTTGTGGATGCTCAAAGGCCAAGCCAAATCCTCCTTAAAAAGTTGAGCAGACTAAACCTAAATTGATAATTGAACCTAAACCAGAACCCAAACCAGAACCAAAACCGGAACCAATAGTTGTGGTACCAGAACCAGAACCAAAGCCAGAAATTTAGATAGAAGAAAAAGTGGATTTGAACCCACCTGAAGAAGCAAAACCAATTGAGGTTGATAAGGAAGAAAGTATTTAATAAACAGATCAGGACGAATCAGACTTTGATAAAGCAGTAACTGCTATTTTAGATAGAAGCAAAGTCTTTTAGGAAAATAAGAAGGAAATAGAAAACCAATTAAGTGCTATGTTTAAACAAGATTAAAATAAAATAAGAGATTGTTCAGAAAATCCCGATTTTTGTGGACCTAATGTAGCAAACAGAAATATTTGTGATATCAAAGACAAATACGATTTTTCCAAAGTGAATGAATTTTAAGAATATAGAGGAAAAATAACTATAGTGAGATTAATCTAAAAATAAAAATCGGCAATTTGCACTTATCTTGGCAAAATAGATGACAAATATTGTTGTGTAAAATTATTGCCAATGGCAAAGAAAGAAGATATTAAAAAGTGGATAGAAAGAGTTTTATAGGTTTAGAAAAAACCTGATGATGCGATGATAGAGATCTTTGGTTAAAAATATTACTATTACAAAATAGAAGATGTAAAGAATGAACAAGAATATTGCAACTGTTATATCATTAGCAACCTAGAATAATATAATACTTACACTTTTAGGTACATATTAATTATATAATTAAGCCATCATTAATCAATAACATTATTAGACAAAGTAAAAATGGCATATTAAGCCATCCAAGTAATTTCCCTAGCTTTGAAAGCTAAAATATAAGATGATAAATAATCTGTAAATCAAAGGCTGTCTGTATAGATATCTAAGAAATTGTGCACAGTGAAAAGAAATAATATATTGATTTCTAGAGATCAAGAAAACAATAAAGATTTTAAATTACTCTTATCTGATTGGTAATTGTTACTTGATGAATTTGAAATGATTATTCCAAATCAGAAACTTTAAAATGAAGATAAGAATTATGAAAAATGTGTTATTTTACTTCAAAGCGTGTCTGGCAATCTTAGGAATGCAGCTAGATAGTAGGAGGACTTAGCATTCAATAAAGATATGATAGAATTGGATGAATTTACAAAAAAAGTTTTGTTTCTAATATTTTTTAGGGTCAATTTTGAGTAATATTATTTCATAGCTAATTAGGTTACTTGATGAAGTTGAACTAAAAGGTTTTATAAATGAAATGAAATTGAAAAAAATAAAAGACAATATAGATAAAATTAAAGGCAAAGCATTGGATGAACACTAATAATTAAAAAGTTAAATAAAATCACGCTATGCTTAATCGGATAAGTAAGATGAAAAAGATAAAAATGAGAAGATAGAGGACAAAATAAACAATAGCTAAAATTAGCTACCTCAACTCATTTGTTAAGAATTTGGGTTTATCGACTAAGATGATAATAATTTACTCTATCAAATTTACATTATGTTAGAAGTTTTAAGTACTGAAGCTATGCGAACTCCACTTAGAGAAATTCAAGAAGGGCGTCATTGAGATGATATATTTGTTTAAAATAAATGTAGTATTATTTATCTAACTCTTTCAAACAATTTTTTAATATGAAGTTTTAAGAGCATTTAAATTAGTTTTGATTCACAATGTTTCTTCTATGTATATTTTCAATCTAAAAGAAATTAGAAGTAATTTGAAGAAAGAATGAATATTTAATTTAAATTTATACCAAATTTACTTAATCATCTTTATGAGATACAATTTTAAAGTTTTTGGAGTTGTTATCCATATTAGATCCTAGACTAACAAAGCAATATAGTTGATCATATGAGTGAAAACATACTGATGGTGAAGTTAAATTTATGGATTACTAGAAAATAAAAATTACATTAAATTAATCTGTTTCTAAATTAAAGATTAGATTATATAAATAAATAAATTGTCTAGAATAAACAAAATTTTATGATGATGGAAGAAAAGGAAGTGTTATACTAAATATCTTGTACATAGTTCGAATGGTATGAATAAAAAATATCAGCATAGCTAGTAGTTATGATTTAGAACTTCATGTTTGTTAATTTTCGTAATATTAAACACGATGATTCAATCTAATTAATTATTTTTTAAATGGGTTGTTCATAGTCATCTAAGAAAAAAACTGACCAATTTCAATCTCAATAGTTGCCTTCTCAGATAACTTCAAAACTAATTGAAGGAGATGAAGTTGAAAGAGAGATTTTTAATCAATTTTGTTTAGAAAAATACAAAATTTAAAAGAATCCTATAGTTCAAAGAAGAGCTCATTCTGCTAAGCCAAGTTTAATAAACGATGAGAATCAATAAGAGGCTTAGAATTCATTTGTATAAAGATAATTCTCTTGATCATTATTTTATTATTATCTCTTCATGCAAAATTACTTTAACTTTTATTCATCGATAAACAGAGTGTTAGAGAACTTACTCAAAAGATAAGTTGAATCTAAGATGTGAATCAAGAAATAACAATATTCGTTTTTGAAATAATTAACAAAAAGTAGAGTATCTTCACAAGTGTCATCTTGACTAAAAGCACAGAAGTAGAGAATAATTGAAGGTCTTTAAGATATTATAAAGAACAAGACTAAAGCATTCAGATAATAATATAAATTTTGTCGACATTTCTTTATTGAACATCCTTGAAATAATAAACTATGATTAATTTTTTGATTTATATATGATTGGTTTATCGGTACAATATATTAGCGTAAACGATTAATTTAAAAGAATTAGATTGAAAGTATGTGAAAGTGCTAATTCATAGGAGATTGACCGCATTGCTCAGATATGATCAAAGTAAATATGATTTAATAAAAATATACTAATACTAAGGCTATCTATTATCATCTATAAGACTACATCAACTGAACTTGGAGATTTGCTTATCTTTACTATTCGACTTTATTTATGGAAATTTTAAGGACAATGTTTTTTTGATAGTCTAAGTGAAATGAAAATTGAATAATTGTAGGCTTTGCTTATAGATGAATAATTATTGAGAAATGGCTTAAATGCTTTGTATTAATCATAATCATTATTTTATTTTTCGATTGAAAATTTACTATTTGATATTAATTAATATGATGATAATATCAGTAAATTTAATAAACAACATTCTTTTACAATTCAAATATAACAAAAAATTATTATATAAAATATATTAAAACAATCTAAACTATAAACTATGGAAAAAGGCAATGTTTTTATTAGAAGATATTAATGAAATTGTTTATTATTAAAACATTAATAAATTCAAAAAGCCAACATTGTCAGAAAAAATGATAATGATAAAGTACTTATATTCTTGAATTAGTAAAATATTAAAAGCAATTAGAAATGCTCTTTATTCTAATTATACATTTCTAGAAATTATTTTTTATAAATTAATACTTAAATAATAAATTAAAAATATATATGTATAACTAAATTGCCGAGAGCATAATACACACCCTCAATGATCAAGTTGAGAAAATTATAAAGCAGGAGGAGGATGTTATTTTGACTAGATTAAGAATTTTTATTTTAGTTAAAATATAGTGATATCTAGTTTTGGATAAATAATTGTGGTTCGATTCATAAGGTAGTAATATCTTATTTGTATATTTTCAGATCTTAATATCTAAACTTAAAAAATTGATGAGTATTTCTTTCTGACTTAAAATTTATTAGGAAGAAAAGTTCTAGAATTGTTAAAGAATTTATAAATTATTATATTAATAGTTTTTCAGCATTATTTTTCAATGGCATCGGCAATTTTTTCAATTGCATAACCAGTTCCAATTCCAACTCCATCTGCCAGTATTTTAACAGTGATTCTTATTATTTTTCCTGACACAAGCATAATATCAACATATTTTTTATAAGGCAAGTTTGATGCAACTACAGTTATCACTTCATAAACGATTTCTCCTGGATCTAATTTATCTAGATAATGTCTTGCAATCATTATGTGTTTCACTTTGTTCATATTTAGTCCAAATATTCTAGCCCCGAAACATTTAATAACAGCAGGGACTAATTTACCAAAACAGGTTGATAATACTGTTTTTCCTCCTTATACCTCCATCACCAAGGTTGATAATACTAGGTAGAGAACCAAATATCTTGAAAACATATACTTAAATTATTAAAATATATTAGAATTTTCAGGAATAAAGTGGTTTTATACCTTTAATAATTCTATTAAATTTAGTATTAATATTAATTTTCTATTAAAATTTATTAAATAAAGATTTCCTATAATTGTTTAATCAAAATAGTACTATATTCATGGTTAATCTATAGAAATTAAATAGTTCTTCCTTTCTCTTAAATGTAAACTATTTTCATTTATTCTGATTGCATTTAAAAGATAGGAAATAATTCCAAAAGCATTAATAAGGTTGTATTATTGTTTATGAAGTTAATAAAAAATATTTTCTGTCCCTAAAAGTTTAATGATATGTATTTAAAGTAATTCAATTATATCCAAATTTACTATGTTTTATTTAATAAAATTATGTTTGATTTAACAAATAAAATTTTTTTTATTCAAATAATCTTTCTTATACTACAAAATATATCATTATCAATATAACTACAATCTAATATTACAAAGGTATCTTATACAATTATTCATTTCCAAAAAGTATTAATTCATTCATTGTATGCGAGTATAGATCGAACTAAACGCAACCTTTATAAAATCAATCCCTCATTTTTCAATTAGATACATTCTTTAAGCAGGCACTAAGGAGATATTTGAAGTAATTTCATTTCGTCTCAAAATTTCTTGATTTCTATGCTATTTATCTGAAAATAACCTCTTAAATATATTCTCAATACTTAATCTTAGCTTGTTATTTTTCCCCACTAAATTTATTAAATATTCCTTAATTTTATAATATTGTTATTTTATTTTCGATCTATCTAATCCCTGGATAAAATTTCTTATTATTCATCATTAAATAAATTAAAACTTAATACTTATTTAATCTCACAAATATTAATCAATTAATCCAAATTCCAACCTGTCGCCCTAAACTTTGATTTTTCTAAAATTGTTAATTATAATATTATAAAATATAAATCAGTACTCTGATAAAGGTGAATATATATCAGAATAAAAATCTATAGATTGTAGTATATAACAATTATACTAAGAGATAAACTTATGGAAAATTGATTGATATGTTAATTCAACTTCTTCAAAATTTAATATATTTTTAATAAGAAATTATCTAAAATATATCATCAAGTCTTTCTATTATTAAATTTATGAACTAAATTTAATAAGGAGATGTTATCGATAATCAATATGAAATAATAAAAAAAATATCATAAGGTTCATTTGGAATAGTATATGTTGGAAAATCTTTGACAAGAAACAAAAATGTAGCAATAAAGGTGGAAAAACAAGAAATGGCAAGTTATAGTAGCCTAAATAGAGAAGTAAAACAATATGTAAAATTAGATTGAAATATTGAAACTACTTCAAGGTGTTTCCTAGATTCCTGAATTATATTGGTATGGCCAATTCAAGAAATGCAACGTTATGATAACCAATTTGCTTGGACATGACCTAATATATTTTTAAAAACAATATTAGAAGTTTTCAACATAATGTATTTACAACATTGCCTTTCAAATGTTGTGGATTTTGGAACAAATACACTCAAGGTAATTAAGTAATTGATTTTTAGGAATGTAATACATAGGGATTTGAAACCAGAGAATATTTTAAGTAAAAGCGATTCTGAGAAGATCTATCTCATCGATTACGGAATTTCTCGAAATCTAAATTAAAAACCAAATAGGAAAAAGAAAATCTCCTTTATTGGTACAAGTAGATATGCAAGTTTGGCTGCTCATTAAGGCATAGAGCAGTCAGCAAAGGACGATTTAGAATCATTAGGCTATTTACTAATTTACTTAATGAAATAGAGTTTGCCTTGGATGAATATAGAAAAAACTGATTTATTAAGATTGGATAAAATAGGAAAATTAAAATCGGAAACTAAAATGGAAGAATTATGTTTCGATTGTCCAAATTCAATATTAAAGTGATAATTTAATAAAAATCTTAGGTATATGAAATATGTAAAGTCATTGACTTAATAAATAAAACCACAATATGCAATGTTGAGAGGGTTATTTCTAACAAAATTACATAACTTTCCAGATTAAGGACTTGATTGGACTTATCAAAAAAGCAGATCTCATAAATAAAAATTAAACAAAAGACGGAAGAGCAATTAAAATTCAAAATATTAAAGTTGTAGTACAATTAAGAGGTAATTTAATTAACATAAAAACTTAGAGGATTTTTAGGAGAGAGTTTAGTTCCTCAAAATGTTAAAACCTCTGCTGTTTAGGATGAATTAGCAGGATCCTCAGAACATGGAAGTAGTGCATTACAATTTAGTGCGGTTACCAATTAAGGAAGTATCAAAAGCATAAGAGTGGGTTTTTCCTTAAGTGATATACAAGAAGATCTAAAAGTACAGCCACACAATAATTAAATTGCAAGGATTTCTACCTTTGAAGGTATCATTGAACATGATCCAGGAATGACCTTAAAAGCTGAATAGCAATTGATGGAAAGGGAGAATCAAGATCTAGAAGTAAAATATAATTTACTACATTTCAAATCGGTCTACTTTAACTTCAAGAATCCAATATAAAAATACAATTTAAGATCAAATTATTTTAGGAAATGACATCAAAATAGTTTTCTTTGATTATAAAATTTTCTTTTGTAATTATTTATTAGATTTATCTGATGACTTAGAGGAGTATATAGAGATTGCTTTAATGAATCCTAAAAATAGTTTATTTTAAGTGATTAGTTATTGTGCTTTGATTAAATAAAAAGATTTAAAATAAATGTTCAATCGTATTACAAGGTTGGCTGCATTGTAACACAAAGTTGTTAAATGTTTTGATCTTCATGAATACCAAAGTAAAGACTTGATGAGAGGATTCAATGTCAGAGTGTAAAAAGGAGCAATCGCTTTGAATGCTGACGATGCTGCCAAAGTAGCAAAAACACTTGATCCAAGTGGTGGTTTGATTCTTAAGTCATAAGTCCATGCTGGTGGAAGAGGAAAGGGTATGAAAATAGGTCTATTTAAGGAACATTATCAAGTGGTTTGAAAGGAGGAGTAAAAATCTGCAAAACTCCAGAAGAAGTAGCCAACTATACTAAATAAATGATTGGATATAAATTGGTAACACATTAGACACCAAAAGAAGTACAGACTAATATTTACTAAATTAGGGTTTATAAGTGAATGCAGTGCTTGTACATGAAGGTGTGGATATAGTACGTCAATTATACTTAGCATTTATTCTGGATAGAAATTCTTAAAAGCCAGCTATTGTTGCATCAATTAATGGTGGAATGGAAATCGAAGAAGTAGCAAAGACAGATCCAAATAGTATTATTGTGTTACCAATTGATATAAACACAGGATTGACTGATCAAATTGCCAATAAGGTTGTTGACACTCTTCAATTATAATCTGTTAGATAATAAGCAGTCGAATAATTGAGAAATCTGTATAAGATGTTTATCTCATTGGATGCTACTTAAGTAGAAATCAATCCATGGGCAACAGATCCAAAGAATCAATTATTCTGCATCGATGCTAAAATTAATGTTGATGACAACGCTAAATTTAGATAAAAGTAGTTGGTAGATTTGAGAAAAACATCAGTTGCATCAGAATAGGTAGACCCACATGAAGAATTGGCATTGGCAGCAGGATTGAACTATGTTGCATTAGATGGAAATATTGGTTGTATGGTGAATGGAGCTGGTTTGGCAATGGCTACAATGGACATTATTAAATTATATGGTGGAGAACCTGCCAATTTCTTAGATGTCGGAGGTGGTGCTAATGTTGAATAAGTTAAGACAGCTTTTGAAATCTTGAACTCACACCCAAGGGTAGAGACAATCCTTATTAATATTTTTGGTGGTATTATGAAATGCAACATTATTGCTGAAGGTATTATCAAAGCAGCTTAATTGGTTGATTTAAAGACACCATTAGTTGTTAGATTAACAGGAACAAATTCATAATAAGGTAATAAATTGAGAATAATTAAAAGGCGCCAAGATGTTGGATGAATTTGCCAAATCATAGACTAAAGTATCAATTACAACTGCAACAGATTTAGATGATGCAGCATAAAAGTCTGTTAAAATTGCACACACATCAAAGAAGAATTGATTTATCAATATTCAAGTTCATTTATTTATTTCTTTAATATATATTGGAGTCTAGAATTTAAAAAATAAATTTGTATATGTTAATTGTAAAACAAATTAAACATTTCAAACTGCTTAACTTGGATCTTCCTTTGATGGGTATAATTATGGATGAATGCTTGGTAAAACACCACCGTCAGCGATTGTTGTGTTGGCCATTAATTTGTTTAATTCATCGTCGTTTCTGATGGCTAAAAGAATGTGTCTTGGATTGATTCTGTTTTTCTTGTTATCTTTAGCAGCATTTCCAGCAAGTTCTAAAACTTCAGCAGCCAAATATTCCAAAACAGCTGAAAGATAAACTGGAGCTCCAGCACCAACTCTTTCTGTGTATCTTCCTTATTTCAAATATCTTGAAACTCTTCCGACTGGGAATTACAAACCAGCTTTGTGTGATCTGGAAACTGATTTATGAGCTCCTGCGGCTTTGCCTCCCTTTCCTGCTTTTCCTTTTCCTCCTGATGACATTTGATTTTTGATTTATTTATTAATGTTTCAAACCCGCCTTATTACAAATATAAATCCCAATTAATCTTTTTTCAATTCTAATCGGCCAATCAAAAATAAGAAAAAAATACATAGCTTATATCAATTAATATCAATTAATCAAGGTATTATTGTGAATTTTATAGACTTAATGGTTTATTACATGTAAAAAAAGCAAAGTAATTGATATTATATATATATACTATAATAATAAGTATTATTATAACAATAATTATATTAGTAAATGTAAATAATAAGAAAGAATAGTTGACATTGAAATTTTACTTTGAAATCCTATTATATTTCATATGAGTATTGTTTAATTATTAATAAATAATAAAAATAAAATGAATTAAAATACACTAATGCCAATATTGTATTTAGGAATGATTAGTTTTGAATAACAACTGTTTAGTTTATATTTTGACTATTCGAAAACAGGGAAACAAATAAATGAGTAAATAAAAAATGAAATGAGAATCATAGGAAATAAGGAGATCAATATGTTAAATTCTGAAATAGATGCAAGAGATATCAAATAAAATGTTTAATTCAAAACACTATATAAGTACATTTATAATAAGTATCAGATTGCAAGAGTTCAAACATTCATGTACAGTTCCAAATGTGTATTATTTGTATCCATTTGCATTACCATTTTCTTTTATATTTCCTAGAATGGCTACCATTTGTTTTGGATTGGGTTTTGGATTATAGAGTTTCTTATTTTTTAATGACATCATAAAGTTTAAGTTGCAATCTTCCAATTTGAGATCAAATCGAAAAGTCAAGGAATTGATGGATGGAAGTGTGACTTTATTAATGGTCTCCTTAGGTTTAATTTGTGGCAGTGTTATTACAAAGAGAGGGTTTTCAAATTTGATTAGGATATTGAAGGAAGAATAAGCTCTTTCAAAAGAATTGGCTTTGGCAAAATAGAATGCTGGAAACCATATTAAATAATGATAAAGAGTATAAATTATTGTTATAAATTAATTGATTTTTTGAATAAATGCTATAATCTCTAAATAAATTGAAATTGTAGCTCAGAGCAGAAATTGAAATTCTTAAAATGTGTTTGGATAAGGGAAAGTCAACAACGATGGTATAAATGATTGATAAGAATAAATAACGATTGGAATAGGATGGAAAACAATTGGAACTAATAATAAAAAGATTAGAGGAAGGAAATCAGTTAACCTTAAATGAGAAGGATAAATTGGACACTTTAAAATTGAATATCAGCAAGGTATTGATACAAAATGAAAAAATTTACAATTCGGATGAGTAATTCAAAGATTTAATTTCAAAAGTTCCCAGAATAAAAGACGATTAAAGTTAGAATCAATCATTCCAATAAAGCAAGAAGGAAGAGTCCTCCATTTAAATTAAATCTGCTATTAAAACAATATAATAAACAACATAAGAATAATAACAACCATAAGAAGTTTATCAATAATATCAGATAGTAAGAAATAATGTGGATAATTTGATTTCTGAAATCTCTAATTTAAATTTACGAGTTGATAATCATAAACATACTGACTTGCAATAATAAATTGATAAATTGAAATTAGAAAATGCAAAGATGCAAGCCAATTTTAAATTACTCAAATAAGACAATACTGAATTGTTCTTTATTAATAATGATATCAAAAAATTGATTTAATAGATTGAGATGGATAATGAGGAGATCATTAAATCTATGAATATCTTAAGAGAATAGAGCAAACCGATGAGTAATCCCTAATCCAGATTATCTAATTATTATATCCCTTATGATGAAACTAAAGCATAAGAGGCAGATGAAATTATGAATAGATTAAAGTAAAATTGATTACTTATTGATAAATTATAAAAGCACTTCACAAATTTTAAAAATTAAAAGTTGATTATCTTTGTAACCTATTAGTATTAATTTAAGGTAAAGTAGTTAATTTTCGATGACTCATAGGAGAATCAAACTTATTATGCCCAATGGCATTGAGTTGATTACCCAAAGACATCTTTTCTCTAAATCTTGATATCATATCTTGTTTAGATAAAAGTTAATACTTTAATATTTCTTTTGATTTAGTTATTTTTCTCTTAAAGATACTAGATCTTTATATGAACTCACTTTTTTTAATGGAATTGCATGCAATTTAAAGGACTTTTATTTTTTATTTGTTAATTCAACGCTTAATCTAGCATTTTCAGGAGAGACTCGCTCTTATTCCTTTTCCTCTCTTAAAGGAGAATGGGTTGTTTTTATATAGCAAATCTCCTCCTCGCATGTTTATTGAAGAGTCTTTAAAAACATCAATGATTTAATTATCTAATTAATTAAAAATAAAAAGACATGTTATAGCTTGCTGTTAAATGTTATATCTTAGCATGATCTCTCTTGTAGTCATAGGATGCGTTTTAACACACTTTCCTTTAATCCAAGGGTGTTCTAAACATTACTATGCAGTCATTCTATTTTCTGCCCTGAATTATACTGTATTAAGGACAAAATCTTTGGCCATTCTAAAAATGTGATCATAATGAAATACTCAGGCATTGTTTTTGGGAAAGAAATTTAAAACTCGTTAGATATCAATTAGTAGTAATGCCTTTTTCTCATCTGTCCATCCCATAATGGATGCTATAAATTGTTGATCATCATATAGAAGATAATGCCTAAACTAAAAATGTCAACAGCCTAAATTAGAATAACAGAATAACAGACCTGACTTTAATCCTTTCCTAATATGACTTCTGGAGCTATAAAATACGGAGTACCAACTGATTAATAAACACATCCTTTACAAACTATTTCTTGTCCTAAACCTAGATCGATTAATTTAACATATGAGTTTTCACAAATAAATATATTTTCTAAAATATGAGTTCGTTTTACCTGGCTTGAGATCCCTGTGTATGATATTTTTTCTATGAAGAAACACTAAAGCGTTTAAAATTTGAGTCATATAATTTCTAATGTTTTGTTCTGACAAGACAGATTGTTTCATCAGTTTGTCTAGCGTCAAACCAATAAGTCTCTCCATAATTAGGTAAAGATGATTATTGGCTATTAGCACCTATTATAAAAAATAATTATTTTACTTTATAGAGCTTGACAATATTCTAATGGCAACACGCTTTAAGCAAATTGGCCTCATTCTCTTGATCAACATTTGATGTAATCTAATATATTCTAAAATCAAATTAACTTTTATTGCCACTACTCGATCTAGATTACTACAAAACGCAGCCACAACTACTCCAAAACTCCCCTTCCCAATTACTTCTATAAACCTAAAATGATCTGCCAACAATATATCATTTAATTAATCTAACAATTGCTCTGGCTCCATTATTTTTCAAATAAAAAATAATATATATACATATACAATATCATTACTTTTAATAAAGATATATTCTAATTCATAATTTTATCCTAAGCAATTTTCAAGGATTCTTTAGATTATTCCAAGACACACAAAACACGAAATTTACTAAAAATTCGATTTCTAATGCAAATTTTCATTATTCCTTCTCCAGTAAACACATGATTTATTTATATAGAAAAATCTATTGTTGCAAATGGAAAATATTAAATATTAAATATAAACTTAATAATTTATGCTTTAAGGCGAACATTAATTTTCTGATTTCATAGCTGTGATATTTGTTTATGGAATTATTTTCAGCGAATACTATGCCTTTGTATTTATTTTCCTACCTGCATTTCTTATTAAAGTAATTCGTTTTTTTTTAATATTAGCATGGAGTTACTTCTTATTTTATTGGGATCGAATTTTCAATAATATTTATTTTCCTAAACTTAGCTTACATCATGATTTAATATATTAAACCAGGATATCCTCCACAAGATTTAGTATTTATTTTTCTATAGAAATAGGCCAAACATTATCACGAAAGAACTTTGGAAGACATCAAATAAAGAACAAAAAAAATGACAGAGAAAATTAATAAGCATAGATAAAGAAGAATGTAAAACCATATTGAATTGCATGATGAGAATGATGATGAAATTGTAATAAAATAATTTTATAATATGGTTCTAGCGATATTATCCAAGTATTATAATTAGTTTCATACTGTTTTAAATGTGATAACATCAAATTACCAAGGACCCATCATTGTAAAGAATGCAATAAATGTGTGCTGAGAATGGTAATTTATATTTGATTTTATTTAAATTAGGATCATCATTGCCCTTGGGTGAACAATTGTGTTGGCTTGAAAAACCATAGATATTTTTGTCAATTCAATTTCTATGCAATCTTGTGTATGATTCAGTGCTCTTTATTTATTTCTTATGATATATTTGTAAATGATAAGTTAGTATTGCAAGTAAAATTTGCTTAAGCTATTTTGTAGGAGTTAACAAAAAATCAACAGTTTATATTAACTATTTGTAATGTTACTTGCTTTGCTCTAGTAGTTGTGATGGGATTTCTATTGGGGTTTCATCTATATCACATTGCTTAAAATATCACTACCGTTGAATTCCACATAAATGAAATGAAAGCAAATGTATTTAAGCATCTACAAACTATTCTTAGAATCCTTTCAAAAAACCTAGAATTATTGACAACTTTAAGGAGGTCTTTGGTCCTGAAATTAAATATTGGTTCCTCCCTATAAGAAATGCAGAAAAGAGCGCATTTCCCAGAACAGACCTATTTGAAGTTTGAGAAAAGTAATCTTGAAAGAATAGTGTGATATTTCATGAATAGTAAATATATTAAATGATCTCAAAATATCAATAATTTTTCATAGTACTATACTCTGTTAGCTTTTAACAGCTATTAGGACTCAAAATTTAAGAATTGATAAATTTTTCCTTTTACTTTTTTCAGCCTAATTTAATTTTACCCTCAATACTATTTAAAATTAGAATAAAATAATTAATCAGAATGATTAATTAATCTCTTTAATCATAATATCAATTAAAATTTCCAAATGTAATATACTTTAATCCATTAATTGTGAGATGCCAATGTTAAACACTAATTTTTATTTTATTTGAAACCTTCACTTATGATTCGGTCATAAGGGGATGAGATATATCTAATCAATTATATTTCTTTTTAATCTAATGAAAATAATAGAATAATTAAATTCGATTCAATTTCTTTTTTTTTTGCTTTGATTAACAACTTTGATAAGGCAAAGACCTAGTGTTCCTGTAGCTATTCCTGCACTTCCCAAATAACAAATAATCATTATAGTTTGCATCATCAATCTTCTTGTCCTAGTGGATATGTAAGATTAAAATGCCAAAGCAGCCTTATATTATTGAGTTATAATTACTGCAGAAATTATAAAGGCCTTAATTAACGCATTATTATTGATAGCCAAAATTTGTTTGCTTCTTTTCTCAAAATGAACTATATTATTAATAAGATTTGTAATTTTTAATATCGTTTCTAATGGTCCTATTGATATTTTTTGAAATGTACTTTTATGACTTCCTGGGACGGTGTCTTTGACTTAGTTGTAGAAATTATCAAGGTTATCCCATTTGATCTATTCTTAACTGGTTTATGGTTTAAGAACAAGCTCAATATTTTTGAAACCAATATTTTCCTAAAGGGTAGGTAAAGGCTTCATTTCTTCTACAATGGAAAAGTTTTATTTATTTGAAAAGTCAATATCTGATTATGAAGACATAATAGAAGCTCTGTCCTCTTCATACGTCTTTACAATGGTCCAAGGCATCTTAAAGGTGGAAACAATTTTATCTTCTTTGAATACTCGTTTAGATTTTGTCCTATTATATTATTTTCTATCATATCTAGTTTTTTTTTATTTATTTTTTGAGGGAGTATGAGGAGTCAAAGGAGCTTCACTGTCATTAATTTATTGTTATGTGGTGTCTACTGTTGTTTGTAGTAACATAGGTAGTGTATTAATTATTCCTTTTTTGGTGATGATTTATCTGTCTTCTAATGGTAGTCCATTGAGGGCTTGTTCAGCCTATATATAAGTGACAAGAATATATTACATTTTCAGGATCGATGTTGGCTACAAATGGCTTTAGGAATGCTTTGATATACAATGAGAATTTGGGCATAAACCAGATATCACAAAGAAGATCAAAAATGGATCTCTTCATCAAAGCATCTCTAAGGCCTTGAGGGAACATCTCCATAATTCCTTCCTTTAAGTGTTTATGAAAGTAAATCTCAAAGAACTTTTTTCCAGTTAAATAACTAATGATCAAACAAACACAAGCCTAAATAGATAAGAATAATACAAATGCTGGTAGCTGTGATAAAAGGAGTAGAGCAAAAGAGTAGAATGAGATCTTGAATAATAGCTTAGGGTTATCTTTGACTTGAATGTATGTATTATATGGATTTCTTAATTTTTCAATAATCATAATAATACTCAAATACCAAGCAGCTTATGATCTATCTTTTCATATTGTTTGTAAAATTCAACGAAAAGCTTTTCCAGATAGTATCCATCGACGACGCCAGCAGTTTCTCTGATAGAGTGCATGCCCCATTATGCAGCTCCAATATCAATAGTTTTGATTCCTGTATTTGAAGCTAAAAGTTTATCAAATATTTATACCTTATAAAGGTCCTATTGTTGACCCACAAGGTGAATCATTCTTCACAATGAAATCTTGAATTGGCACATTGGCAGATTAAGCTACAACTCTTAAAATAGCTGACGAAACACCATCAGTTGCATATCGTTAATTATGATTGACTTTGATAACAATTCCTTCATTCATCTTCACTCTATGGTTTTATTGATGCTTGTCTGAATAATTTGGATGGATAGAATGAGCCATATCTGATGAGATTAAGAAACTTTTTTGAATTGCTTTATAAAAACTATCAGTAGACGTATTGGTAGGATTGGATAGAATATCATAAATTCTCTTCATATTATTAGACAATAAAGAAGAGTCAGCTCCTTGAGCACTTTAAGACCCAACTTCTTCGTGATCATAGAGACAAATCATATTAATAAATGTTTGGTCCTCTGTGAAACTCTCTGGATTTGTAATTGCCAAAAGGGCAAAGAAGCTTGAAAATAAATTATCAATTCTTGCAGCGGAGATGAACTCTTGATTCAAACCAAAATAGGAAGGTGGTTAACAATCTGAGAAGTATAAGTCAATATCTAAGATCTCAGATGTTGGAATGCCTGTCTATTCAGTGATCAAATTCAGCAAATACTTATAGTGCTTATTTTCGAAATTTGTTTGTCCCTCAGTTTTTGGCTTTTGAATTACAGTTAAAGTTTAATAGGCTTCCTAGGCAAAAACAGGCCTTAAATTTGATTCGTCTAAGTTCAGTTAAATAAGTACTATTTGGAGCAAAGCTATTTCTATCTGTAGTTAAATGAATTGCCAAATTAGGAATCTTTAATAATGGTTATTGATAATGGAATAACTAACTCTAAAAGACATTCTCTTTTTTAAAAATAATTCGTCCTCCCAAAGTCAATTCCCTGTCAAACCAAGTATGCCACAAACCCCCACCATAAGTAGAAACGCATGTCTATAAAAATCCATTTGAATCTAATTTAGAGACTGGAGCCAATCTTAAGCAAGGACTATCGGTGTGAGCACCAATTATTTTAAATCCTGTATTATTTGGGTCAAATTATTGACCAACTGTGAAGGCTACAATAGTGGTGAGATTTCTTGTGAAGAAATACTTACCACCCTTTTCCAATTTCCAATTTTCTGTTTCATTCAATTCCAAAAATCCAGATTTGGCTAGTCTTTCTTTGCATAGAGAAGTTACATGAAATGGACTCACTGCTTTTGCAACAAAGTCAAAGAATTCATTCACAAGAGTTCTTGCTTATTGTATTGGAAATTATTTCATAAAATTTCTATTTTATAAAAAAAATGCAATATTAGACATATTGTTTTACATTTTAATTTAATTGTAATAAAGTGTCGATATATATGAATCAATCTAAAATCTTAAATTATGTCTTTCCTAATGGTGTTTTACATTGAGGACATGAATGCATAACATCCTTGCAATCATCAATAATACAAGGTAAACAAGAAACGCATACTAAACCAAAGGAGCAAAGCAAAAGAATACATGAGGCAAGATAGGTTTAAGTTCCTGGTTTTCGAATAATCACAGTATCAACCTAGTATATGAATTATGATACTTTTTATTTGCATTACGGACATTGCACTCTTACTGATTTAACATGCCCATCACCACTTACCTGAGTGGATGAAACCAATTTTATTTAATCAAATGTCAATGGCCTTGGTTTTGTCGTCTATGATTCTATGACTTAGTCAGGAATCATATTTTAGTTTTAATTTTTTTCATCTGATGATTAAATGTTGTATTGATCTGCGTTATTTTAAATATGAAAGAATATTTCATCTCCATCACTTTATTACATATTTTTATTCATCTCTATATTCTACCTCAAGTTTGTTAACTAAATTTATAAATATAATTTATAAATATATCAATCATTTTCATATTATTTAAAGTAATTTAATCCTCATCTAAGAAAGGTTCTCTTTTTCTTCAGTCTGACTACTTTTGATAATTTACTTAGGAGAATTAAGTAAATTTATTTTTGATCAACGATTGTAATTTGCCTTGCATTTGAGTGAATCTCTAACATAACCTTTTATACTTAAATTATCATTTTAACTACACCATATTTCTTAAATTTCTAATATCCTTAATACTATTCCTGTTTGGCTAACTCTAAACCAAATGATGTTACTTGCTTAATCGTCTAATTATTAAAATTTTTCTTGTTCTTGTCTTCTACATAGATTCATTTAATAATGATCAATTTAAGACTTCTGTGGATTGTAAATATTCCTTTGCACAAGTATAAGCAATGTTCATTTATATGTTCTTGTAGGTGTTGGTAACTGGTATATTTCCTAAAAGGTTATCTATACTGTTAATCATATTATAATTTAAATTATCTAATTGTATTAACAGTTGGAAATTGATTTCCATCCCAATTCCATTATTATTCTTTTCTATACCTTGAAAGACCTTCAATTTTATTTACTTCTCTGTTTTTATTCATCCAAAATATTTCATAAGTTATTCATGTGCTATCCATTCACAGTTATAAAATTTTGAAATATCCAAAAATAGTGATGCAGGTGATCTTTGCTGTAGAAATTAGATCAGCGATATAAATTGAGCTCTTAGATTAAACAGTAAATTAAAATGGCTTTACAGAAATTTACAGAATTTCCATTTAGGAATACAGTTCTAGTTCTGAGAAAATCATTTGAATTTATGTTAATAATAGAACAGTTGAGCAAATCAAAATATATCTAAGTTAATATAGAATGAGTCATTCTGTGAGTTTGTCTTCAATCTTTGCTATAATAGATGCTGTTGAATCACCAAATGAAACACTAATAATTAACCTTTAAATCTCAACAATTAAACCTTAAAAACCATGAAGATTATTTTGTGTTTCCATGAAGTTTATGAATTTAATCATTTTCTTACACGTCTCTCATATTTTGATTGCTAAGCATAGTTTCTCTCAAGGTTTAATTCTATTTTTCTGAGTACATCTGCTTCAGCAATATCATCGATTTGTTATTAATAATTTTTAACGATTAGACTCGTGCGTGAATTAACTATTTCACTTGGTTTATAATGATTCAGGTTTAGAGAAAATCAATTTTGGAAAATGATTTCAATTGTACAGAGCCTAAAAATTTTTACTTTGGTAATTTGTAGTCTTTTTAATTTAAAAGATAAAAAAATATTTAATTAAATATCATCATATTTAGTCATTTCATTCAACTTACTTCTTACATGACTTAAAGCGAGAAGAAAAAAAATATTAAATAAATGTAATTTAGGAGAAATAAATTATTATAGTTGAGATGTAAAAAAGGCTTTGATATTCTTGAGAGAAGGTTGGAAGAATAAGAAAAATGTTTCATAATGATTATGATATATCAATTTTAATTTTTAACATTAACGATAAATAAATAAATTAAAAAATTTGAATTCGAATGAATCGAAGTTATTCCCCAATACTGAGACCTCTTTCAAATATATCCAACAGAAAACTTACGTCCATAAATGTATAAAACAAACAAAATTAAAATTCCTCAAAATCTTTTGCTCAAAATTCAGTTATATATCCACAATAAACTGCTCTTGCCAAATCTACCATTTATGAAGTCAAGACTCTAAAAAACAATATCATAACCCCTAAAAGTAGTATTACTTCGTTCACTTCCACTCCCAGACTTAGTTTAAACAGCGATGATGATAACAAATCAAAAGAACTCAGAAAAACATTCAATAGTTAATAAAACTCTAAATTTTTACTCTTTAAAATAATTGTTTTTTTGAGTGTGATTGCTTTTGCCCTTTTGCTTTACTAAATACAAGCAAATTTGTCTCTGTCATCAAAATCCAACACTTGCGTTTCTGTGGAAGTTCAGTATGCTAAGGAGAAAATTATTGCTGATAGCATTTCGAATTCCATTATTTCAGCCGTTGTGTATGACCGCTAAAAAATCAATTTGTAGAAGGAAAAGGATGATGTAAAATCATTTTATTAAGATGAGTTCTCATCTAATTTATGGAAAATGGTATTTAATTTAATTATTCTAATTAGGTTGTAGAAAATGTGAATAAGGATTTAAGAATAAGATTAGAAAAATAAGACAAAGAAGAATTCTGGACTGTTTGATTAATTAGCTTTCATAACATTTTCATATAAATATTTATCTAAAATACAACTTTTTTAATTAATATTGAACTATAATATTTGAAAAATAAAAATACAAATAATGTTATCAGAACTTGAAATACAAGCAGTTATTGGATTTACTGGTATATTGACAATATTATTATTTCAGATAAAATTACTTAAGGGTTGATTTTGCATCCAGATAATGAGGTATATTTTAATTAATCATTACAAGCATATAATATATCCATTCGGTTCGACTATTGTTGTAGACCTATAATCAGCATGGCTCAAATATTTTTAAGGTACTGTATGATTGTTTAATAAGTTGAAATTTATATAAACTTTAATTATATAAATCTGATATTCATTTTTTTTAGAGGACATCATAACTAAATTTCTGTGTTAACAGTTTCTCGCTCTGGCGATTATGTAGCCTCCGGATAAAGAATTTATATGGGATTCTAAGCTGATATTATTATTTGGGATTTCAAGGAAGAAGCATGATTCACAAAATTGAAACTACATAAAGTGTTAATTCAATCGCTCAGTTTTCCTAAAATGACTATACTTAGCCTCTTTAGGAGGAATCGAAGATAAAAATATGATGATTGTTTGGGAAATTAAAGCAGGAAAAGTATTATATGGAACTCCAAATAGGGATCCAGTCAATTAAATCTAATTTTACAATTAATCAGATGAAAAATTGATAGCAGTTTAAATACTGGAGTTTAAAATTTTAACAATTGATAAGCAAATTAAAAAGGTATTCTTATAATAAAGATTTAATCTGTAGATGTAAACTGTGACAATTTTAAACGAACTTTCACTTGTGTATCGATTGATAAAAATGATAAATATTGTTATTGCGGTAAAAAAGCTGGCCATAGAGAAAAGATTAGCCCCTGTTAAAAAAATATTCAGTTAAAGAGTTAATTGCTTAGGTTTATTACCTAATGGCGATGTTATTGTTGGTGCTGGGGATGAAATGGGAGCGAAAGTATCATTTTAAACAATGCTAATAATTCAGGCAGTGAATTTTTGGAAGTGTTATGTCAATAACATTTATTTATGATTATACTCATTTTTTCACTGGAACAAATCAAAGCTACCGGAGTTTCGAAATTTATGCCATTACCATAATGAAAGAATTAATGATGTTGCTTTTCCTCATAGCTATTCAGAAGTTTTTGCTACTAGTTCATTTAATAATATAAGAATATGGAATGCTAAAAATAGATAAGAATTACTTAAAATCTAAGTTCCTAATTTAGAATGTAGGACAGTTTCATTTACGAATGATGGAAAAAGTATAGTGAGTGGATGGAGTGATGCCAAAATTAAAGCATTTTACCTCAATCAGGGAGATTGATGTATGTAATCAACGATGCAAATATTCATGGATGCACATCTTTCGCTTGTCCATCTGATTGCTAAAGAATAATTCAACAGGATCTCAAGGGGAAGTGAGAGTTTGGGATATAGGCAAACAAACATAAGTTATGAAGTCATCGATAAAAGAACACAGAGGAAGAGTATGGTAAATCCAAGTTAGAACAATAATGAATAAGATGTGAGTGCAAGTGCTGATGGATCTTGTATAATTTGGGATTTAAAATCATTCACCAGAGTTATGTGTCTATTCGAAAGTACTTTGTTTAATTTGTTCTTTACCATCCTGAAGAAAGTTAATTACTAACAACAGGAAGTGATAGAAAAGTAAAATGTTGATTAATTTTGAGATAACTTATAGGGAAACCTTTGATGGTCAAGCAATAAGAATGCTTGATGAATCCGATGAAGGAGAGGTCAATGCACTTGCCATTACTAAATAAGGAGAGCATTTTGTCTCTGGAGGAGAAGACAAAGACCTAAAACTTTGGGGTCATCATAAAGGAATCTGCTACTTCAAAGGATAAGGCCATTCCCGCACAATAACAAGAGTAGTATCCCCTTATCTCTTAGATTACCATAAGCCCAGAATCAAAATCAATCATCTCTGTTCGAGCTGAAGGAGCCATAATCCTGTTGCTTAATCTGTCAAGTCTAGAACAAAATAATCTAAAAAATGATAGGTTCATTCATAAAGAAAAATGATCATCAAACCTAATACAGATCAGTTTATTTCTCAATCCTTTGAACTCTCGAACATTCAAATGAATGGTGTTTTACTTTTGTTTCAAAAATATTTTGATAAGAAATCCTTTTCAAGAAATTTTAGTTTAAGTGGTGAGCTTATATCTTATATACTTCCTATTTTGTCAATTAACTCAA